TCATAGCTGGTTCTACTCTTAAGAAATAAATAACATTTTTAATTCTGAGTCTTTCTATTAGTAGCCGTTATCTTCTGTCATTGTCGCACATTGTATATAAATACTTTTGAAGAACCGTTCAAAAGAAATACAAATGTACTGGTTAGTAAGAGAATGATAAGGTTTCAAATTGAATTTCGTGATTTCATTTTAGGATCTACTGAAAATTCACATTCCATCTTGCAGTTTGGATCGAAGCTAATACGCAAATTTGTAAATTTGTATCGTCAATACATGCCTCTTTCAAATCAGTCTAAAGAAGATAAGAGTTTGTCCAAACTTATTAAAATCTGTGAAATAGTTTTCAAAATTGTAACAGTATAAGGTTTTACAATCCGTATAACCCATATATCATTGTACAGGGTGTGAGTGCATGGATGGGCGTCGGTAAAGTAGCTTATCACTCCCACACCCGTCGATAACAGAAAGAAATAAGCAATTAGCTACTTTAGTTTCTCTTCTCTTAAAATAACTGCGCAACATTATTTATCGAAAGCGAAGATGGATAAGACGATGCTGGCGATTATAAATTTCACTTTTTCGTTGAATCAGTAAAAGTTAAATGGAGCGAGTGAATTTATAAATGATGCGATCAGAAGTAGACAGCGTAAGACATAAAACAATAAAGGATAGAAAAGATTTACGACAGTATGACGTCTGTTTGATCGAGATAGAAAAAAGAAAGCACCCTTATTAACCAAAGAAGCCTCACCTTGAATAAAGTCAGACATAGGCAAAAAGAGAAATGATCACTTTGAAATGCATTTTCCAATTGAAATTTTATGTGGATTCATATTTTCAAATCGGGAGATGCCATTATATTCGGTATATAAAATGTAGTTAATTGAAATCAGCATAGGAGTATCAGTGTTTCACTGAACACTGATATCAATGTAGTCGGTGGTCAGTGAAGACCTGTGCCTCAGTGAGTAGCAGTGCATCAGTATTTAAACTGAAACTACACATCCCTACCTATGAATTTGTTGAAAATATTTCTGAAATTAATTTGAATGATATTAATAGATTAATACGTCCAAATATTTGAGATTTAAGTTAATAAACACCGATGTTAAATAAATACTATTGTTCTGTCTACAAAATGGTTATTTTACATTCAATGGAAAACATTTTAAACAAAAGAAAGGGTTTCCTATGAGAAATAGCATATCTTCGCTACTAGGCGGCATATATGGATGAATACATAATAAACAACTCCACGTGGCCACGCGTTACGAAATTTCATTTTTCACATTGTGGCGTCTGTAATTTCTCAGTATTGAAAGCAAACTGTCTAAAATTTTTACCATAAATAGAGATTCTTTAGAGCTTTTACCAGTAAAAATATCATATATTTTCTTTTTGCCGCAGCAGAATTATTCTGTCTCAGATCACTTTCGGAGTGACCGTGCAGTTACCATATTAGACCCTTCAGTTGGAACTACCAAAACTGTGCTAGAAATTTTCTTGAACGAGTTCCCAGGGAACGAAAGGAAACAACTACTGACCGCTACGGAATTTCTCCATTTTCTGGAATTTTTGGAGATAGCTTCGGACGTATTTTTTCTGTGTCAGTGTTGCTGAAAAAGCTATGTTTTGCAAATAATTGAGCAGTTTGAGGTGTTCTCTACCTGATACGGCTAAAAATAATGTTTGAAAATTAAATTGATTGAGCAAAAAACTTCTCACAACACAGCATCTCAGGTATTTTTTCAGAAAGTCAAATTTAAAAGAGAAATCTTTTTAATTTTGGATTCTGATCATGAAAATGTGACTTTAGATTATTTTTGAGTAGAGCTTCGTAATCAGTGCTAAAAACTGAGTGAAATCATTTATTTTTAACATTTGGTTGATTCGAAAAAAGATTCGAACCTTCCTCATGGAAGGGTGTCCGATGCTTGGCCACGCCGAACTTGAAAGGTAGTAATAAAGCTAATAGAGTATGGCGCTATTTCGATGGTCTGTTAGTAATTACAAATATGAATCAAGATCAAACAACGAGTTCCGTTGATAGCACACGAGAACAAATTTATGTGAAACAGCACTTCAACGCAAACTTTTAGAAGAAAACGCTCTTTTGACATTTTAAAGCATTGTTTTCTCTCTCTCTAATGCATCGAAAAGCATGTTTTTGTGTATGTAACGCGTTGAAATTCATTTTCTTTTTAGTTATAACAGAATTTTTCCACTTAAGATGCGACTTTAAAACATCGGTCGAAAGCGTTTGCTCTGCTTTTCAATGATTTTATTATTATCAATGATTCCTTTCTTGAAAGAAACTTTCTCTTGCACACACTCTAGAATATCTATTTTCGTGTATTCTTTTAACAATACAATGTTTACGTAAACCCGGAGTGCGTTTTCTCATCCTCCTGATAACTGAAATATTTAGAATTAATTAATAATTAGAATTTTTCGTCAGTATTTCATCAAATGAAAATGTAATTTAATGGACCGCCAATTACTTACTATATTGGATAGGGATATATTACCATCGACATGAAAAACGCGACGAAAAGTGTTTCGAAGCTTCACAATAAATCTATTCATTTTTTTACATATAATATAAACTATAAATACAACCTTAAAAAGAAAAGGCATTAGAAGGTTCCGAAAAACAATAGTTTTAAAGACGCTATCCAAATACGATTCATGCCACCCTTCATAAATTAAATCTTATATAATTGGGACCATGAAAACAAGATGTAAATATATTAAAAGCGATACTCCCAAAATCCAATATTTCAGCAGATAGAGTAAGCAACTTAAGAAAAAAAAACCTTTAAGAGAAATTTTCAATAAAAAATGTAATCTCTAAACAACTAAAACTTCATACGATAGAAATAAAGATGAAAAAGATTTATTTTCATTAATAGTACCATCTGTATCTAAAATACAAGCATTCAAGAGAAAATTATAGAAATTGAAAATCAAAAGGTATTTTTCATATCCTACCAAGGTTAATTCATTAGTTAGTGAAGCATGGCAACAGATATCAAAATCTATCATATACCAAATAGAATATGATTGTCAAGCTATATAGTTATTATAGTAAACCGAAAGTTGGGACCAGTGAAAGAATGAAACAGCAGGACAAAATTACAGGAAAAGGCGAAGAAAAATCATCAAAACAAACGATGTCGATGTATGGCAAACAGGACTAATGAGTTTATTGTATAGAATGAGATCGATTATAATAAAAGATAGATTAAAGAATATATTTATTCCATAGCCAACTAGATCCTTCAGGTAGCTATTTCTATTTACGTTATGAAATGAATTCTAGAAATGAAAAACACTACAATTTGGATCAGTTACTTCATTTGGGCAATAATTAGGTACATCAAAAATGCCCTTTGGTAATAAATCACGATTTTCAGAATAATATGAAAAATCCGCTTGAATAATATTCACCCATGCAAGACGACATGGTACACCAGTTGCAACTGATGTTAACCACGAGAATGTAGCAATATCTGGAGCAGCTTTTGTCCATGAATGACACAAATGTTCCATGACCGTAATAATACCATCATATTTAGTTTCATTACCAATTTGTAACCAATCTATCAAAGAGAGATCGAATATATTATAAATCGATATTATTTTTTCTAATTAATAGATTCAATCCGCAGTTAAAGTGAATAAAAACGGAAGAAACTATTACTGATCTACTCTACTGTTCTAAAATGAAAACTTCAAGTAACCTGAACTCACTACACCCAAAATATGTTCGTCTGTAATGTAAACACCATTGTGACATAATTTAGAACATTATTCTTTGAATCCTAGATGCGGTAATATTTTACAAAAAGATTTAAGTTTCATAGAATCCATTGAAAAATTTTCAAGATTATTTTTTACGGTATGCTCAAGTTTCGCACACTGTATTCATGATAGTCAAGACGAAGAAAAAACCTATGAGTGCATCTCATAAATATTTTTTCGTATCTTATTTTGTTGAATTTATATATTGAAGCTTGCCGTTATCTACTATCTTACTGGTTGTGTTTACCTGGTCTTGGTGGTGTTACACCTGTATGATCTGGATCGATACAGCATGTTTTGTTCGCACGTTCTAAGCGCCATACTGTTGTTCCATTATGCATTATTGTATATGTGTAGGAGTCGTCCCTCATTAAATTCATAACTTGCGCTGGACGAGTCCAATCATAAAAGATTTGTGCACTTATTGTTTGATTATTAATCAAAGACTGTCCACTGCCAGTTACCATCCAAAATGAAGGCCATTGTGGCGGTGAAGGTGTTAGAGATGGAGAAGTAGTACCGATATGAAATATAAGGAAGAAAATTAGTAGCTCAAGAAACATTTTGAGAGTGGATATGCAATGAAAATAGGTGGTTTATATATCTTCTCGATTAAGCGTATCTGTAGAAAGAAAAGATATGAGTAAACCATTGCAACAATTTTTCATATTTTAGATATAGTTTTTAATATGTCATGCTTACAAATTATTATACGTCTTCTCTGTTTATGGTTCGTGATATTTGTGAAAATAAGGTCTCAGGCGAAGTTTAATTTATTATATGTTGATTGCTACAGAAAAAAAGCCAACATACACATAATTATCTTTTCTATCAGACTGCTAGTGCTTAAGGTAGAGTTAGTGTAATATAATGTAATTGGTGTGAATGCAAAAAAAAGAGATTGTTGACTGTAAAATAATATCAATTTGAACTCAAACAACTAACCAGCCAGACGAACATTTAAAAAAATCGTTTTTTTTTAGCTTGCCTAACTGAATAGTAAATTTCTTAAAGAATCGATTCAAACAATAAATCGAAGTTAACTTAGGAGAAAATCACGCTTACAACACTTTTAGAAATTTACAATGCTGCTCTTTATAAATGGTTATGTCGACTATTAGACAATTCGAGAAACTGATATGTGTTCTTGAATAAAAAGATGTAGGTATGAATGACAAGAAACCTAACAATCATACTCTACCCCACACGCATGCACAACACTAGCGAAGAACAATGAAAAAACGAAAGAAGAAGAGAGAAAAAGAATATGAAAAATATGTGGACGGGTTCACTTCATCAAAGTTTATCACGATAATAATGATAACGATCAAACCTGTTGATACGTAAAATTCTTTGACATATTTTACATAGCATACCAAATTTAATACCAATGATTATTTCATTATCATTACGTTTAGTAAAGAAACAATGATTCGTTAATATTCGAAAATTTGTTTTTACCATGAACTTAGTAAATCAGTAATATACGTATCACTCAACGAAGATAATATGTGTAACAAAGGAAAAGCCGAGTATTATTTCTTTTTTATTTCTTTTAACTAGAGCTTCAACGGAAGGCCGAGCATGTGTTTTAAGATTTTTTGATGATGAGCGTGCCAATAATCACCAGAATACTAATATTTGATCAAATAAAAAATTGAAATTGATATTTTGAATAAAACGCCTGTGTTTGTTTGTTGTTCGTTAAGTATAAGAAGGATTGATCATGAAATTATTTGATCAAGAGTTCATCATTCTATCACCGAACGACGCAAATATGAAACTACTGGAATATCTTAAATAGCATAATAAATCATTGTATTCAATGTCGATGATGATATTGTTAATTTGAATGGGTAGAATAGTATTTTTCGTCGATTCTTTGTTTCTGACTTATCAAGAAATAGTTCGCAAGTATATTGCACAGTGTTTTGTAATGACTACGTTTCATGTCTATCAATATGTAGAATAGAAACACAACTGTAATGTTGTGCATCATAACATACAGACTTACATTTTCTCACATGGAAAAAGTGTTCATTCAAAGTATAGTTTAAATTCATCGTGATGATCCATGCATTTTGATGCAAATAGAAATACCGATTGAACTAATGAATAAAGTTTAAATGGTAATCTCCCAATTAAATCAACATGATGAGGGTAACTTAACGAAAACGCTGAATATGAATTGATACTAATTCATGAATATGATAATCAGATTCAGTATCAATAGTAAATAAATGACAATTGTTAATATGTGGAAGAATAATATTAATTGAATTCATAGTAGTAAAATGAATATAAAAAAAGTGATTTGGTGGAAAAATTAGTTGATAATTGCAATTCTGTAATTGTTTGTGATCATTCTTGACATAACTATGTGACCGAAAAACATTTAAATAAAATTTTGGGCCATCTAGACCGTGAAGATTAGTAGAAACCGGACAAGAAAGGATAATACATGGTTCTCAATGTTTATAGACCGATTAATTGAGGGTGTGGGTGTTAGATGGTCAACTCCGGAGTCAACTCCCCTAGTAACAAAGCACATAGGGTACAACTCCGTAGCAACCGTAAGACATAGGGGTTGTCGAAGTATCACTCTTCCATATACAATTCTAAAAATCTATTTTTTTCCTCGGATCTCTTATTTAACTCCGACGGAGTTGACCGAAAAAATCCGGAGTTGCCCATCTCTGGGGTGTGAGTGTGGTTCTTCCTTTGCAGGCCATGTAGTAGCGCACCTCACAGCCCCACACACCGACACCCACACCCCACACCCCAGCCACCCACACCCGCTGGATCAACATTGACCATCCGAGGGTTAAATTTGATTCAGTTTTATTTTGGTTTCAAAACACTTAAAGTGAAAACTGTAAAATTTGTATTTCCACGTTTTTGCGTCAAACATTTTCAATGGTAGCATAACATTTAACTCATTATTCTGAACCCTCTCGTATTTTGCCCACCTATAGAAGCAAGTTTTATTCGATGATTGCCATCTTTTGAAAAGCACGTATCTATGATTCATTTGACTCTTTGAATTGTATGGGCTTACAAACAGATCTTTTTAGTATTATGCTTCGTTTGAATTCATTGATACTGTCCATACTTAAGTAATTTTACTGATGCTAGTTTTAAAAATTTCAGAACGTGCTTCAAGTTAATAATTTCCTTTAGCTCAGCCCAGTATAATGATGTTAATCATGATATTTTCTCGAATGATATCTCAATATTTGTTCTATATATCGAGAGAGTTTTTACATCCACTATAGAAAATGCTCTTTTCTGTTTACTTGAAGTATATTGAGTATTAATTATGGAAAATAAATAATTATCTTTCAGTCTCATTAATGAATCGTCGGTGTCTGCCATTTTTCGATCACTGCTTAGTTTTATCCTTTTTCTTTAGAAAAGCGCCATAAAATCAATTCAATCAGTTCGCTACATCTGTTTGTATGCCATCTTTGTTGATTGAGTATGTATGAAACTTTGCGGCAATCGAAGAGTAAAATAATATCTTAACCGAAATGCGTGGCATAAATAACTTCTACGATTCATCATCGAACGCAGTGGTTTATATTTTTCATTATTGTTTCAACAACAAGCAAAATTAGCGTTCTATTCTATAGTACTATCTACTGCTGTTCGTGGGTGTGGGTGTGGTCGTAAGTAGATTTTAGTGAAAAGAGCAGACCTTGGTCTCTATCCTGTTCATAATTTGAGAAATCCTTAAAGGATCCTGTCAAATTTTATTCAGAATCCCATCTCAAATCCTAGAAATTCCCGTTTCCAGGATTTTTCGAAGTCAAACAAAATCAATCGGAATAAAAAACTGACTATTCCTGCAAAGATTTAACCTGGATCTTGTTCAGAGCTTTACAAAAATGTACGTTTCCAAATCTTACAAAACAAGGTCTACTCTAATCAGTTCGTGTTATATAGAAATATAAGGACTCTAGTCATACACGTTATCTCGACATAGAAACCAGTGAATATAGAAAATGATACATGAAGGGAAATGAAGATAAGAATGTTTTCGAGTTGTTTATTATTGTTTTTAGCTTTACTGCTTCTCATTGGGAAAAGCGAAGGAAAAAATAAAACACCGCTCAATTATGACACCGTAAGGAAAAATGCTGCTACGCACACTACAATATTTCTAAAAATTATGTTTCCGACCTGTTTGTTTTATATTAATAAAGATGATGCACTTTCGTTTAATACAGTCCATCACATGAATGTGTAGAAAAATTGAGGCAACAAGCTTCATTTATGAACACGTGGATTTTAGAAATGTAATAATTAATGGGACAATAGACCAAGTGCTAACTTAACGATTGGATAATTTGTTTTTCTGCTGGAGCATAGATTGGATGCTATTAGACAGATAGAGGGATCAGCTGTCACTGTCTTAATGTTGAGAAAATTTTGCATCATGTCACTTCATAGGAAAACCTCCACTTTGAAGAATGTCTCAAGTAGAAGAAGCAGATTAATCGATACGCCAATAATCAAAATCGTGTGTCGCATTAATTTTTACCAATAAACTATATAAAAGCACAAGTGTCACATGTACGCTGGATTATATTTAGTCAATTAGAAGTCAATGAGAAACAAATAAGCTTTTAAAATTCCATTCATCTCTCACGATATTGTAACATTAGCAATTTCAGTCGGTGAACAGCACCCATAGTTTGTTAGCCAAAAACTAACAACATATGTATCGCCTGCGACTGTTGAAAACGTTTGACTTATTGTATCACCATTGGAACTACACCGATCGTAATAGTAATAACTTCCCGATTCGGCATAACTACTTCCACTGTATGCCATACCAGTGTAGAAGGTACATGAACCAGAATAAGTCCATCCAGATAGAGTACCGGTTTCAAAGCCGCCATTCGTAATTAATTGTGTCAAACCATGATAAACATTAACAGTGTCCAACATCCAACCACCGGGATCATGACGAAAAAAGAAAGATAATGTCGCCGACGATCCAGTAGCTACCCACGTATACGCATAGCATGTATAAGTTGGATAAGTTGATGATGTTGGATTCGTAACAGAAAACAACGTTCCACTTGATCTCGATTGAGGTGCACACGGTGGAATAGCCGTAACTAGAAAGTTTGAAATTTATGACGATCACAGTGAAACCTCACCAGACTATCTCACACGCTGTAGAAGACATTATACGTAAACTACGACTAACACTGCTGAATCAATTTCATCAATTTGATGAATATTTGTAGAGTAAGTAAATAGATCTGAATTAGAAATAAATTATAAATTTCCGCTCGAATAGATTTGCTATTTTGGAGATATACGTGTTGTAAATATAGCTACTCTCCTAAATGGTGAGTATTTTTCAGGGAAATACTTTAAGTAGATTTTCATCGTATAAAGAGCGAGAAGAGTTTTAGTAAATGGCGTTCTCCATAGAATTTGTCGATCATGGGCTATATTTTTGTTTAATATTAGTTCTTAATTTCAGAAAGCGTGTCAACATGAATAAAGCAATTTGGACAAGTATAGTAGAGAATGTAGGGTTGTATGAAGAGGAACAACCGAATGATGTCCAGAACTATATTCATCGGGAAATCGATTGAATATGATTCTGCTGTAACTGACCGATCTTATCTTATGAAGACTATGAGTGTTTTACTGAAAATATTAGCAACGTTATTCATACTGATGCCTTTCTTTACGGTATATTGAAGCTCACATATACATCAAAGCCATGAATATTGTTCAATTCTACGAAAAATAAAAGGATAAGATCGAAATTTCCTGTTGGAAACCTAGTAATCAACTCAATAGTAGAGAGAAAAAAGTGTTTCGAACGAAATTCAGCTGATTTATATACAATCTAACAGATACAAAAGAGTGTATTAAACAATATGATGATGTCCAATATAGAAATTTCGTCGAAGAAAACACTGTTCTCAACTCTATCGCAACAAATTCAAAAGCACATATTTATCTTAGATAATTCGATTCCTAGCTATCGGACAAATTTCTATTCATTTTTCAAGATCAATTTAACCGTGCATAAAAATTAGAAGAAAAATCAAGTTTTCTTCGTTGGACACCTTCACTCTCATAGTTAGACATGAAGATAGTCACGTATTTGTAAAAATCATGTTGTTATTAGCAAGACAGCGCTCGATTTGGTGAACACAACCTCAACAATGCATGCTGCCATATTGAAGTCTGAATGCAATATCGTTCGACCTGTCAGAATCTCTTTAGTGCCAAATAAGAGCACACGAATATATACTTTACCGGTAGTAGTAGTAGTTGCAATTGTTGTTGTCGTAACTAGAGAGAAAAGAAAGACAGCAATGATTACCTCTAGATTTTTAACAAAAAAAATCAATTTTTCATGACAAACAACATACCTGCACATGTGGTATATTTCTGGATGCGAAAATTACAGGAATCAGCTACATACAAGTTTTTGTTTGCATCGAATGTAATTCCATTAGGATAATTCAGTGTTGTTGCTGTTGAACCTAAAACTCCACTAGT